CCTCTTTGATAACTGTAGTCAAGAAATCTTTAAATCTATTTACATTTTCTGATTACATCCAAGTGGTTTTCATACATTAGTGTCACAACTAGAGTCCAGGCCAAGATTTTTCTCACCTGGATTTCTACAGTAATTTCCTAAACATTTACTTACCTCCAATCCAAGGCTGACTTCAAAAGGCTGCCAGGATGTTACCTTCTTCTGCAATTGTCATCATAATGTCCCTTCATAAAACTCCTTGTGGTACCACATTGCCCTCTTGGTACATTCCAAACATTTTCTCTTCCCATTCAAGACTTTTTGTCACATGGCCCCTTTTACGTGCTCCCACAGTTGACATTTTGTGCATACCTCATCACAGTGCTTATCATGGTGTATGGAGATGTATGCATCTCCTTATTTTCCTAATAGGTTGGAAAGTTCCTGAAGATAAGAACATCTAGGAATCACACAGCAGGGGTTCAGCTGATATTTACCAAGTTAGTGAATGACAATCTAGAGCTACAAATCTCTCATACTAAGTTCTTTCTTTTCTAGAAGATAGACTGGAAGAATGCTTAGATGAAATAAATTGAATATAGACATATTCAGGAAAATGCTAAGCATTACGTAATGAAAAGATGTATTTTTATAATTATCCACAAGTTTATATTGGGAGAGACATTCACAAGAAACCATAAATGGTCCAACTTTTTGAGAGCTTTCCATATGTAAGTGCCTCTTACTTTCTGCCACATTGATGTTTTCCTACCCATGACTCCACAGAATTTCTAGAACTACTCAGTTCTCAATGATGACCTCTCTTCGGCCCATGGCTGCCAGATACCTGAGTGACATCTTTGGCTTTAAAGTAAGATCAGGATGAAATGAATACGAAGCTAATCTAATCACTACTCTCATCAGAAACTTCTTACTTGCACCAAATCTGTTTGGGGATATAAAACATGTAGGGAAGTACTTTCCACACTGACAGAAATGGTGGCAGCGTTCTCCTACCTTTTTGGATTCCTCATTATCCTAAATATGGTTCTGGTTCAGGTGATTTTACTCATCTAATCAAGTGTATAGCTAAAACAAGAAATAAGAAATGAAATAAATACGGGGGATTATTTTAGGGAAGAAGAGGGGGCATTTAGCAAATTTGTGTACAGCATTATATGACACTGAAGAAATAAAACCTTCAACTGAGGGGATCTGAAAAAGATTGTTATAAGAGTAGAAATGTTATAACAAATTCGAAAATTCGATGGAAACACATTAGGAAATTTCATAAGTAAGCATATGCAGTTGTGACTTACATTTGTATTTCATGGCATCTTAAACATTTGGCAGCTTGGGATTCATCCAGTACAGTAATTTTTTATTTGTGTTCTTCAGAAAACTAGGTTTCCTAATCAACCAAAAGTTGTAGGAAAAGGAGGGGAGTGGAAAAAGGATCTAATAAAACACACCTTGCCCCTAGACTTGACCACAGTGTAGACCTGTGGAGCTCTTCTTTTATTTGGCATTCCTAATGTTGGGTGTTCTGCTAAGAATAAATTAGAAACTCCTTCCAGGTCTGAGACGGCCCTGCAAGACTTGTCCCTTGCCCGCCACTCCAACATGATCCATCTTTACTCTCCCCATCCTTCAGTACTCCGATTCTCAAAAATACCCAACTCTTTCCTTCCACAGACATTCACCCTTGTTTATTCTGCCCAGATTTTTCCTTCAGATCTTCACAAGTCCAACTCATTCTCATCATCATATGTCAGCTTAAATGCCATCTCCTCAGAGAGAGACCATCTCTGACCAGCCTAGATAAAGGGGGTGTCCCTCAGCTACTGTCTGAATCATCCTCTGTTCTAATCCTTGCCTTCTAAGTTGTACCCTCTAGGTAGAGAGGACCCTAGACTTTCCTCTAGGATGAACAGCTTGCTAATGTGAGAAACACAGCTAGTGTTCTAGTTAACTGAACTCACTTCACTCCTTCTCGAATCTGTGTAAGGGTTATGGTTTAAGGAAATTTCTTGAAAGGAAAGCAGGTTGCATGGACACATCTGGTTCAAGATGGAAGTCCAAATTGCTAGTCAACCTTTATATAGAGGCACAAGATAAGAAAAGGAAAAATTGTGGAAATTTATAGCCAAAATAACTTAAAAAGTGGTCTCCAAATTTTTTTTCCTTTCTTATGTTGTATCCTTTGATTAAAACAAGCTAGTAAATGAATATGGTACAGTACCTTATTCCTGATCACAGTATCCTCTCTTATAGATGAAGACTCAGGCAATCAATGAGCAATTTACAAAGAGCTTGCTGTGTTTAGGGTTGCGTTAATTGCTGGATGGGATACAAACAGTGACTTCTTGATTTAAGAAATATTTACTATGGGGCAAAAATGTGCTGTCTTGATCATACTGAGCATCAAGGTCTGTCTTCCTGAAGCTTTTAGTCCAGAACAAGTAGAAGAAAAGTTTCCATGCCAGAAATGAGTTCGTTAGACAAAGCAAGGCAAATGTATGTAAGGCCACCAGAAAAATGTGAAGTTCTAGACTGTACGATATTAGCCAGAAAAATTGAAGATTTTAATACAGCAAAACATGTCAAAGGCCTCAAAGATGAACCCAAGGTTTAATGGCTGGTACCTGGAGAATGATGTTCCCCCTCACAGAGAGCTGCATACTGGGAAAATCCAAGGTGATATCTAAGAAGAGATAAGAAGGTTTGTTCTAAAAGTCCTGAGTTTGGGTGATGACTGACAGTTCAGTGGAAATGGACCATGAAATGGCCATCCGAGAAGGCCTGGAGCTGAGGAGGTTTGGGGTGGGAGATATAACTTTTAAACCTTACAAGGAAACAGCGTAGAACGGCATCTGGAATTTACCAGGATCTCAAAAAATGTCTGCTGTTAGAATTACTGGCATAGAATTCGGTTTAGCGACTAACTAGATGAGAGGAAAAATGCAAGCTAACTGGACAGGAGGGGCTGGACTGAGAGCAGAGCAAGTGCACTTGAATGAACAAGAAAGCAGAGGTGCTGACACCGAGAAGCCTACGCCCACGTAACCGGTACCCGAAGAACCACTGTTAAGGATGGATAAGAGAAGCAGGACAAGTTCCACTGGCAGAACGAGAAAAATGTAAAGGAACGTAGTTGGAAATGATCTATTCACCTTCCTAACCCTTACAACAGAACACCTAGCCATCAGGTTAAATCAAGCAGCAGAGCAGAGGAAAACAAAGCGTGCTGACTTTCCCGGCTGCGGCGCGTTCAGAATAAAAGCCCAGATCCCCTTCCCCACCTCGGGAGGGTCCGCTATCCCACCCTGCGCGTAAATCACACACCTCGGAAGTTTTGCATTAGAGAGCCCAGCAGGGGAGGAAATTTCCTGCAAGTAAAAAAGTAGAACTAGGGCAGTCGAAGGAGATTGAAAGGGCAAAACTATCACGCAAGAAAACTGTAAGTTCTGATTAGTTTTATGACTTTGCCTTCATGCCTCAGGAGCTCAATTGATCACGGCTTCCACGACAGGTTGGGGAGGGGGAGAGGAGGGCGCTTGAAAAAATCCTCAAAACTCTCCTCCAGCTCCGCGCTTTCAGATGCAAATACCTCGCGGAGAGATGGATGGGCTGCAGCCCCTCCTACTTTCATCGCTCCTCTTGATTTTCCTGCGAAGGACTCCATCTGTACGGATCTGTCAGGAGGGCGGTGGAGGAGGGGTGCGCGGCTGTGCGGCTTCCTTTCCAAGAGCCCGCACTGGGTCTCCGGGAGGTGCCCAAGTCTCAGTGGCTCCCCGGGCCGGCCTCGCTCGGCGCTGATCGCAGGCGCCCGCCGCCGATCCCCCTCCCTCCTCTCCTCCCTCCCTCCCCAGCCCGGGCCCGGCGCCCTGTCCTTCTCTCCCGCGCCGCCCTCTCGCCCTCTTTCTGGCTGCGCGCGCCCGCTCGCTCCGGACTTGGCGTCGGAGCCGCCGGGGAGAGCCGGCTGGGCAGCCCGGAGCCGGCGGGCCCAGGGCGCCCCGCGGAGAGCGCGGTGATTGGAGCAGCGCCCGCGCCCCTGCCGCCGCCAGTCCGCCCCGCGCGCCCTGCTGCGCGCCCCGGTCCCGGAGCGCCCGCGGGCGCCCGGCCGCTGAGCGCGCGCCCTTTCGGATGCCAACGGCCGCGTGGCTGGCGCCGGACGCCGCCGGGAAGGCAGCGAGGCCCCAGGTGAGTGTGTCTGCCTGTGAGGGGCCGGGGCGGGCGCCGCTGGGTAGGAGCGCGCCCTCGCCGAGCGCCCTGGGAAGCAGGACTCTTCACTGAGCGGAAAGCGGGCGGGGGGATCCGTGTGGAGTTTCCCTTGGCTTCCCCAAGTTACTGCTGTGTGGCTGTGCGACGATGCTCTGCGAGGCAGGACAGGCGTGCGGACCGAGCTGAGGGCGCTCGGCCCGGAAAGCGGTTGTCGACAGACCCCAGGTGCGAGGCGAGTTCAGGGCGAGAGCAGATCCCAGCGCTTTCCAGATGAAGCGGTAACAGAGTCTGGACCGCTCGCCTCCAAGAGGAGCAGGAGGGGGCCCCCGGTTGACCTGGATGGATGGGGGCAGAACTCTGCGCTGGCTGGGCCGCTGGGTTCTGGGCGGTCTGAGACTGGAGGGGGTGTGTGCCTGCGTGTGCTCGAGTCCTTTTAACTGTCCGCGCTAGACTCCTTTTAGCTTTCGTGAAGGTGGCACTCAGCTAAGGGTGCCTTGCTTTTTCCCGTAATTAGTATTCTGCTGCCACAGAGCATCTGCAGGGCTTGCCTCTGCCCAGCGTCGTGCTTCCCCTCCGCACGGCTGTACCTGAGGTGTGAGCTGGGAAAAGGGCACCCTGCTCTGAATGCACGGTGGACTTCTTTGTGGGTGCACCTGGTACATGGCTACTTGCTGGTATTCAGCCTCCCAGCGTGGATTAATGAGAAAGGACCTATTGTCTGTATTGGCTTCACGTTTTAGATCGTTAACCTTACGGATTTCTTAGATATAGTTCAGGTGAGTAAAGATTGGCGCTGCCTTCACCCAGCACTGGGTATGTGGGAACCTGTAAAGAAACCATCCAGGATTGGGTGTCTCAAGGCTTTGGAAGTCTGCAAGTTGAACCATGAATATACTTAAGACTCTCTTTATTTTTGCAACAAATATCTTCTCTTTATTAGATAATTTATTAAGTGGAATATCTTTAAGTAGGACTCGCACTTCATAATTCCTGTAACTGGACAGGTGTTCAGATCATTTTTCATATAAACCTAGATAAACAGAACTTTATGGGGAAAAAAAGTAGAAAAAAACGTAAGTAACGTGAATATATGGCTCCTGCTAAGTGAGAAGTATGCATTTTAAAAATCAGGTTAACAGCCCCAAAATGTATATTTTAAAAGAGTCTAGGGGCAGTAACAGCCTTTTTTTTGTAAAGGAAAGTTTGCCTCGATACACTGCCAGCAACATCTAAATAGTTTTAACTGTGTCTTAATAAAGACAAGTTGGTAGAGGAAAAAAAGGGCTAAGAAAGTAATTACATTGGAAGCTTTCAATAACTCATCTAAAATTACTTGTTTCCCAAAGAACGACTTAGACTTTGGTACCCAAGCTCTTTTCCTGTTACTATATGTAAAGAGGAAATACATTAAGAATCCCTTTCTTCATTTTGGGGGCTATTTGAGAACAGAATGAATTAAACTGCAGAAGAATTAAGGCAGGTAGTCAAGCTGGCAACTTTGTGGAAGTCTTACTGATGTGCTAGTGTTGGATATGGCGTGGAGCGGCAGAAGCAATTAGGGAGCATCCAACGTTAATAGTCTTATCTGGTAAAGCTAGCTGAAAGTCTGTCTGTAGAAAGAAAAATAAAGGAAACAATGATCGGTAGTGCAGACCAGCACCCTGCTAGAAGATATTAAGGTTTGCAGCTTTAATAAAAGGCCATTGTGCACTTAGAACGTGAGGTATTGTTGTAATTAAGAGCTACAATAGGTCATTAGAATTGTGTTAACAATCAGCTGACAGACTCACAACTCTTTGTAAGTCTGCTTTTATTGATTTAATAGCACAGAGCTTTTCCCTTTCTTATGAAAGGGTAATTGTAAAGCAGCTATATTACTGCAGTTTACCCTTGAATTGACTCCAGTTTTTAGTGTCCAATGAAGAAGAGAGGGTGGGGAGCATACTGAGTTGGCCACTGTTGTGCCTTCCTAGATCTAAAAATCAACCCACTGTGTCTCCTCAGGCGTGATTTCTTTGCTGGTCTATCATTCAGCATTTTAGGATTTTTTTTTTTTTTTTTTTGGTGGCAAAGCTGATATAAACTTCTCAGAATGTATACTGATAAGAGGAAGTGAATATATCCTTGTGTCGAGTCAAATACTTTCTTTGTCAAATCTTTTAGAAATCTTTTATAAAGTGCTGAACCCATAGATTGTTCAGTGTTGTGAATATTTATGCCTGAGTGGTTCCAAGCTTCCTCGATTTGTTTAACATTTTGCATTTATTACGTTAGTAATTTGTATTACATCACAGTTCTCTCACACACACAAAAATGTTTTTTACTTGCTTGGAAGGCTTCAAAGCCTTTGCCTAATTTGGGAGTTTCAGAAACTTCTAAAATAACGCACACACATTAGTTGATTGTGAAGGGACTGTGATGGAAGCTTTTCTCCTTGCAGTGAAGGAGTCAGTTGCTTCCAAATGGAGCGATAAAGGGGAGCTGAGGACAAGGAAAGAAGACATGTGATCAGAGTCCTGTGTGTGACCATCTCCTCAGCCTCTGACAAGCAGAGCAGATCTAGCTGTAACCAGCAATACTCGAGTGCCTCCTCTGGGAATTTGCTGGTTCTGCAGAGATACCCCTGCAAACAGTTCCCCCTTGCTCTGCAAGACTCCTCCCTGACACAGTTGTCAGTGCAAACGAATATGCAGACGTCTGTCCATATGTTCCTTTCAGATCATACTATAGATCTTCCTTCTGTTGGAATTTCTTTCTGACTGTTTTGCGAAGTGCTTATTGAAACATGATGCCTTTTATTGAAGTCACATAAATCATACCTGGCTCAATGTAAATGCAGGGATGAATTAAAAACTAAAATTAATACAGCTGAGATATGTTGTAAAAGTATAAAAGAAAGGGCCCTTTAAATATAATGTTACCATTTTGATATTATGTAAATAGCTGAAAAGGACTATGCTTTGTCACTTTGTTTTCTTTTTAATTTACATAGGCTTCTTCTAGTTAATTATGAACTATTGTTCCTCTTTCTTTTTCATTTCTTTCACCCATGACAGAGGTTACTGGTGCTTAGTTGAAATTGACTCGATAATCCACTTGGAGAAGTTTGCATTCTCTGCCTGATAACCAGATGCACACTACAGGCTATGTGGTTCATTTCCAGGGCCCCTGCCTGAATATTTAGGCCAGTTAACGGTAGGAGGTTGTGGTCTGTGGTTGTAATGTTATCTGGCCCAGGGAGCTGATGAATTTGATCACAGTTTCTTTACATAAGAAGTCAAATATCTCAGAGCATCCCCAGCCTCACTAATTAAAATGTAAAAAACTATACTTTTTAAGTGCAAAAGAGGAGGGCTGTTTCATCAGTATTAAAATTATTGAAGTTAATGCTAAACTTTAAATGGTATACAGTGAAACAAGTGGAATGATAGTATATTTCTATAATAAAAGCTGAAGATGCCAATATTAAATCTAGAATGATTATAATGAGTATATTAGGAGCAGAGAGTCATCGCAAAATGTAGGATTTGTAGCAACAACCAAATGATCTTACATATACATTCTTATATCCTGAGAAGTTTTCCTGAGTTGGTACCTATTTCTAAAACTTTCAATGGGCTGTTGTTCAAATTCAGCGGAAATAGTTAACGACCTTGGTGTCACAGTGCAGTAGGAAGTTCTCTCTTGATCACCAGGGTTGTTTGGAAGGGAGAAGGCAATTTTAAAGTCCGATACTGCTCACTCTCCATTTTTTGTATCCTGGAAACATGCAATCCTAAATAACAGATCCGTTTACTCTGTTATTCTTACTCTGCACTCCTGGCCCTTGTGAATGGAAATCCTGATGATAGCCTACTTTGAAAATTCAAACTCATGGTCATATAAAAATTTGAGTCAGATCAAAGCTACTTTTCTTGGCCTTTGGAGAAGATGGTAAATTCCAAAGATAATAAATTAAATATTTCTCATTCTGATAATGAAGATCTTTTTAACAAACACTTTAAATTATCCATTAAGTCCCATCATACGCAGTCCCATAAGTAACTGGCTTTGTGACCTCGGGCATTTCACCAGGATTCTGTAGATCTTGGTTTTGTTCTTAGTAAAGAAAGAAGAGTGTGCCTTTGGTTTTTCTAATGTCTATTTCAGTTGTGTGGTTCCACTATTTGAGGAATGTTCAAACATTAGGAGCAGCGGATTTGGGGACTTTTCTAACAGAAAACCTTAAGAGAACCAAGTCATCACCTTCTTCAGCACTGAAGTGACTTTCCTCTCTATGTATCCCACAGACATTATCCTTAAGAGCTCTGCTTGTGTGTGGTGGTTGTAAATAAAGTGTGGCCACAGCTCTTGAAATTCTGCTTATCCTGGATTACTTTCTCTCTATTATGGGATCAGGACATCTGCTCATTCATGAATGGGAGATTAGAACATATCTTTCCTCGTTTTGCATTCCTCAAAATATATTAAGTGGATCTACTTTAAAAATAAGTAAAAGTAGCAATGAACAAGCATTATTCTTTTTACAAAGCAGACTACTCTAACTCTGTGTACAGAGATAAATCACAGGACCTCAGTCATGACAGGTGGCTGCAGTCCTGGGGAAAGCAAGGGCAAATAAGGTCTTTAAAGAAGGCATTGGATGACTCAGGAGGCAGTCTCTTCATTGAATTTAAATAATGCTATTAAATACCCAAGGAATATTGGAAAAAGAGCAGGCTTCTTTTGCCAGACTATTCAAAAGAACTAGTAAATGGAAGGTTGTTCCTAAAGCAATGGTAATATTTCACAGTGCCCTCTAACCACCGCTGGGAAGTGGTGTGCTTTCCACTTTTAAACATGTATCTTGCTCACCCTTCGTAAGGATTCATTAAAAATATGTTGCTTGTCAAAGTGTAGTTCAACTTAAAGCAATCTTGGAAATGACAATTTCTTTCCAATAGGCCAACAGCAAGATTTTTTTTTCATTTTGTTGTTATTGGTACTACTATGATTTCTTGTACTATTATGTTTTATAGATCAGCCAGCAAAACATCTCGGGGAATATCAGATAGATTCTGCAGGTGTTTGGCAATCAACCATTATGGATTTTTCTGATTCTCATGGATTACTTTCTATCAAGTACGCTGACAGTCCTCAAATGTCATTCTTACAATTGTTTTCCTAGAAAATGAAAATTTCTGAGTTTATTTTGGGGCTATATGTTCTACATAGTTGTGAACTGTACCCATTTTTAAAAGTAGGCACAACTTCTTCAACTCTTCTTTAAATTACCAGTAGATGATAAACTATGTGCTAGGGTGGTATACGTTAAGTATATTTCAAAACAGTTTCAAAAGACCTGTATCTGATGCAGCTACACACAGAGAGCATGAGCATCTGTTCCTTTCCAGTAATTTAGAGAAACTGTGATAGTATAAAGTCTTGAACTGAGATAAGCTATTGGCTATTTATATTGAACTGTAAAGAACACATTCCTGTTTAACTTTTAGTGCCACAAAACCTAAAATAGTAATATGTTTCCTTTTCACATAATTGATAGTCATATTTTATAGCTCAAGTTATTGCTGAAGGCATATAGCACTGTGTGCCTTTTTAAAAAACATCTTAGCATATATAAATTAATTGGTAATTAGGCACTCTTGTGGATATACATTAATGTGAGTGGCTGAATATGATTCATTTTATACTATTTGTCATGTTTTTAGCACGTCGCCTTTAATGTAGGTGGAAGACTTTAGGAGATCTGTGCTCTTCCTGTTAACGATTGATATGCTGGTGCATAAAAACCATTTTTTGTTATTAAGGGATTTTTAGTCGTTGCTTTTAGTATGTGCAAAACATTTGATTAAAAGCTTGGTAGTCACTTGATCTGGTTTTTAAAAGTGATTTCACAGAGATGTTAAGTGGAGCAGAAAATCCAAGAAAATTTTCTAATAATGAATTTGGGTAAAATAATATTAGCTATTAAGGTTAAATGAGTAATAAACTGTCTACTTGGAAATAGTTTTTTGCCACTTAGTTGAACAAAAATAATGAAACAAAACGGTAGCATGATAAAGTGATTTCAGGTCAAATAAATGATGTTGATTTAGTAAATACCGCCTGACTGATTCTCACTCCCCCTCTTTTTTTCAGTTTTGCTTCAATCCAGTTAAAATTTCCTTTGTGAGGTTTCATTTTGTATTCTCTTGATTAAACTGTGTTGTGCTGATCACAGTACTACTTGTGGTGATGTTCGTATATTTTTAGTTTGGCAAGAAAATTCCTAAATGCTATAAATTTAAAAAGTACAAGTTTTAGCTTTAAAATATCAGAGCAAAGAATTTTAAATCTTACTCAGATACTTATTTTTATTTTAGATTACTTATTAGTCCAGTAGCCGTCACCACTGCTCTCTCAAACATCTCTGCTTGAGCCCTGTTCAGTTCTTCTCTCAGATAGAACCTATTTCTGTTGTTTTTCTCCTCAGAGTTATAATGCTGCACATTTGTAACTGTCCAGAAGTTGACACAGATCAGTAGGAGTTACCTAAGCTATGTACCAGCACATCATTTTTCTGCACTGTTTTTTTTTCGCAGCTAGTAATAGTGAACAGGTCAGCTATTCAGACCTCCAGAAGGTCCTTCTCCTCAGTTCTCCCACAGGAGACATGATGACACACAACACAGCCTGGCTGCAGAGACCTCTGCTTGTTTTTGATGTGACTATCCTTTGGTTAATGCCTGATAGGAAACTCAGCTAGAAGAAGAGGCAGAAGAAGGGGAGAGAATAAGCAATATCCTTCCTAAGAAGGAAAGGTGCAAGTTTTTGCTTTGGGGTAGAGGTTTGTGAGGCAAATTTAACCCATTGTGAAAAAACGTCAACAATTGTGATTGTGTGCCAAGTTCATTTATAGATAAAAAATGTTGTGGTACCTTTATACATGTTGTCATTTGTTCAATGATGGGAAGCCTGTTTGGAGAGATTATGCAAGAGGAAATCTCAAGTTCAAGTTTTGGTTACTTCTGTTTGATGATCATAAATAACTGAAGGTTTTGAAGGTTTTTCGTAATGCTTCAGGGCCCTTCATTTCATTCATGGTACCCCAGTTCAGGACAGGATGAATTGGGTTGAACTGCTGTACTGGCCTTTACCTTGAAAACCAGATCCAATTGAAAAGGAGGGCAAGGATTTGGGGAAGACTGATGAAGAAAGGGGACACCTGACCTGTGCCCGGACCACTTTCCCCTTGCTATATTGGGTGTATATTCCTGGCAGAGGTGGAAACTACCAAAAATATTGATGAACATATTATGAAATGCCCCTACTCAGACCACAGTTGTTCACATATGGTTTTCCTATTTTAAAGTGCACTCCACAAAGGGTATTATAGAGACATTCATCTGCCTCATAAAAGAGAATTTCATCCTCCAATAATGTACACAAAGCCAGTTAAAGTACCCTTGTACACTCTTGTAGATCTTCAATAAAGGGAAGGAAAATTTGTCTCAAGAGCCTGAGGAATACTTCAAATACTGCAGAGAAATATAATGGAATTGTTTTCAAAGTGATTGTGACTCATAAACATGGCAGAGTTACCAAAGAATTTATATATTAACTTATTATATGGTTAATTTTCCCTATTAAAAAATGAGCTTGATTATAATGAAAAGAAACATTCCGCAAATATTTTTGAATGCCAGTTATGTGCCTGCTTGTGTTCTAGATACCATGATACAAAGACAGCATAGACATCCCTGTTCAAGGTTTATGTTAATAGGAAAGTACAGAATTCTCAGGCATCTTTACAAATATTATCTCAGTGACTGAACAGTAAGCCGTGGCATGTTCTGTAACTCACTTCTTTTATATGTTCTAGCTAGTGTGATAGCTCCATAATCTTATAGGGAAGAGAAATAGTCTTCAAGAGGCAAGAAGAATAATGGAAACATCTCATGTTAAAATTCATGCTAAATTTCATAAGTATGCCAATGGTTCTTTTACATGCCTATGACTGTCTTAAATCTCTCTACCTTTTGTCTTTAATTATTAATAATGTGCATTTTTTAACAGGTTAAAAAAAGCCAACAAAATCAATTCTATATACTGTCAACAGCAGAAAAGGAAGACCTGTAAAAAACAAACTATAAGATAATTTAGTTCAGCCCTCTCATTTTGCAAATGTGGAAATTGAAATCCCAGAGGGATCCAAGGTCGTACAGCAGATGGTGGAGGTTCTAGGGCAGAGACCCCAGTGGTCCTATTCCCAGTCTAGATTCTATTTCTTTTCTTCCATATCGTTGAACATCCTGAGTGAACTCGACTAAATTTATCCAATTTTGATATCAGTCTTTGACTTATAAAAATTACAGATGACCTGCCTTTAGGAAAGAAAGTGTTACATTCTTTTTTGAAAAACGTATTTTGATGCCATTGTTTATATCCATCTAGATTTTTTGGTTCATGATCAGTTTAGTTCTCTGGAACTGACTAGAACTATCAAGAATGTTTTCATTCACTGTAAAAGTTGTCTAAGACATTTATTATAAGTAGCATTAAAATGAAAACTAACATCACTGCATAAACTAACTTTAATTTTAACGTAACTAGTATCAAACTACAAAATATCATCATGATAGTAAGAATTCCAACAGCGACTTTTTTTAGTGCTTCTGCTCGTTCCCGCACTATCCTTAGCTTTTCATGATTTCCCTGTTTAATCCTATGAAGTACACGCAGTTCTTATTGTTTTCACTTTAAGTGAGAGGCTTGAGGCTTCCTCTGTGGAACTTCTTTTCTTAGAATTTAAATAACTTGTTCAAGGTTGCAGGCTAGGACATGACAAACTCAGAGCTTGAGTCTTTATCTGATGCGCATGCCCGCAGTCTTTACCACTGTGTAGTATTAATAACTCCTCAAATTTGGAATTCCAAAAGTTCATTTGCTGCTTAGTTTTTTAGAAGGTGGGTGCATTTTTACACTGACACAGTCTCACCAAGTTCACTTAATCTGTAAAGTCACTTAAATAATAGAATTTATGTCACATTTAAAAAAATTTTGTCTTAGAGACCAAAGTATTTATGTCCTTGTTTTTATGAGAAAATTCATTCTCTCTTGAGGAAGGAGAGCAGTGAAACTGGAAATGTTCTTTGGCCGCAGGTTTCACATGCTACTCTCAGTCCTGTCATCATAACTCTAACCCATCCCTCCCCACCCCCAGGAACCTGGTTTGCCACTAGACTGAAGGGAGCCACATGACCATGTCCCGCCCCATACTGACAGCCTTTCCTACTTTATAAAGGCCACTCACCATGAGTGCCTGGCTTGTCATGGACTCATCCATGCATTAGTGCACCATTTCCTAGTTTAAGAACCTACTTGCCTTCTTTAACTACAGGTAACCTTTCTTTAGTGGGTTAGCTCAGACCTCCCTACAGTGAACTTTCAACCTAATTAAGGGGTCTACATTGGAATATCAACACATGACCGCAGGTTACTTCTTGTTTATAATTCTAAGTCTAGAACATCTAGCCCTTCTAGAGTGATTTCTAGGTGGACCAAATTCATTTTTATCCTTAGATGGGAGATTAGATTTTGGAAGAATGTGTTCAATGCACAGACTACAGTTAACATGCTCTAATAATAGTTTACCTGTTCCACAGTGGTTCTCAGCATACATCACTTAGCTGTGCATTGGATTATTCTGGAATGCCTTCAGGAATTTCAAGACTTCATGGAGATATTTTTAACAGGAATATGTTCATTTGAATAGAGCTCAAAGTCGATGCAACCTGTTTCTTCCGGTTGTGTGAACTATTTTAACATATTTGATAAATTGCACCTTCTACTATATATGGCATTTTTCATAAGCAGTTTGACTGTCAGAAATCGTGTAATGGGTAACAGACACTCCGGTTACAGGAGAGACAGGTAGAAAGATGGAAAAGCTTAAAACATAAAGATAGTGTGTTTTCTGTTTTGATAGGGAGCTACCTTTTGGCTTCATGTTCTTAAAACTGTAATTTTTCTCCTCTCCCTCAGAAAAATAGGCAAATGTTAATCCTTTGCCTTGATTATCCTATTGTTGATTTATTTATAGGTAGTCAAATAAATTCATAAATCAAAGTGCAGCATAGTGATTTAACTGAGCATTTTGTCATGAATTCTCATTCCTCTGTGTTTTGGGAAGTTTGTTTTGTAAGTGATTTTATATCTCTTGCATGATCAGAATTCTGCAACTGAAATAAGTAGACTTCAGCATAAAAGGTTTTTTCTGTGCTGTTGGTCAAGCACCTCCTGGGGGCATGCCAACGATGAATGGAGCTCACAAATATAGTTGGGTTTTCTCATCCCCTCTGCTGATCAGTATAATTCAGTCCCATAAATGTTTATGGAGGAAGGCCCTACTACGCACAAGCCATGTGATGAGCTGTTTAATAAATATTTGCAGAGTAGCAAGTAAGAGCCGTGCAATAGCATAGCCTAACATTCTACACAGCTTACATGCCAGCAAGTTTGAAGGGTGGAAAATGGGAACTACTGAGCTTTTCAGCTGATCACAATCAAATCAGAACACATCAAAACAGCTGGTGTTCTGTGAGTCAGAATCAATCAACGGGTTTTGAATCACCTCATACTTATTTCTCTTTACAGTTTTACAGAAGAAATTTAAACCAGCATATGTCTTTCCTATTTGGTTGAATCTCTGCTTTGAGCTGCTTTGCTTTCATATTCTAATACCAGTGAATGAAACTGACTGTAATATAAGAGAAAAAAAATAAAGGCCAGCATTAAAATGATTTTTTAAATGATACTGCTCCATTTGGGTTAAATAAACCATATGTTCAAATAGAATGCCCTAGAAGAAGCACGAAATTTTAGGGTTGTGTTCTGGAATGAGGATGATTCAGCATCAGCAGTATTTATGTAATTTACAAATATGACAAGAGTTACTGTAAACTTCTAAGTTTATAATTATTATTTTAATGATTATACAAATAATGATGTCTTGGGAAAGTCAATATTAAGTTAGTAAATGAAAGTTAAAAGTTGGTATGTGTTTTGGTTTCTGACACCAGCTCTTCTCTTTGTTCTGATAGGTCCCTATCACACCATTCTTTGGAGAAGGTTCTTTAGCAGTGGTGACCACTCCCAGGCGAACACTCTACAAACTATTATCTCTGGACTCCCAGGTGACACCCTGCCGGAGGCAAGAGCCACTAAGCCAACTGGAACTGTGCCTTTTCTCTTGTCAAGGTTTTTTTCTTACACAGGAAAAAGAAAGAAAAAAAAAAGATGAAGTTGGGCAAAGTGGAGTTCTGCCATTTTCTGCAGCTAATAGCTCTTTTCCTGTGTTTTTCTGGGATGAGTCAAGCAGAACTCTCAAGGTCCAGATCAAAGCCCTACTTCCAATCAGGGAGGTCTCGGACCAAGCGCAGCTGGGTGTGGAATCAGTTCTTTGTGCTGGAGGAATACATGGGTTCAGACCCCCTCTATGTAGGAAAGGTAGGGCATTTGGCCTTTTGAAGTCACAAATGATTGTTGTTAATGTCTACGGTTGGATGGAGAGTGGCTAAGTTTTGCTTTGGGGATGGAAAACACAAAACTGTTACTCCTATGGAATAGCTTGTGAAGTTTTTGGCATTAGCCACTCTGAAATTGTAATCTTGGTATTTATTATCCGTACAGTGAAAGCATAACTTAGTGATGTAACATTCTTAGAAACAGATGAGGGTTCCACAGATGCCTAGTCTGCCATGTCACAGCAGTAAAACTGTTATTTCCAAAAATGGAGCAAGAATATTCACTAAGAAATAAAGAGTAGTGGCTTCTTATACCTAGTTGACTTTTTAGCTTTTTTGGGGGGGGTGGTACTATGTAAATGATTTCCTTACTAACTTTATGCTTATATTTCCTTCCGTGATACTTGCAGTTTAAAAACTGCAAAGTGAAGTTATTAAGCCTGTTGTTTCTAAATTATGAGCAACTTAAACCCACTTTTCTTAGTGGTGGTCTTGTTTTAATGGATTTTTTTTTTCTAATTTGCTTTTTGAAATTTCTTTTTGGTTAAAAATGAATGTGGACAGAGGTCAGTTGGAAGTGATATTAGACAGAAGGTGGGCAGTTGGTGGTGCATTTCTTTGGTGGCCAAGTGGCAGCCAAATTGAGCTTTTTCTCCACAGCTTCTTTTTTGTCTGAATATTTGGGCAGGTGATTTCCATTCCAGTGCCTTTTGAACTGAAGGGCACTTCAAGAGAGTATGGCTTTCCCCCTTCCATCCTCATAGCATGTTCCCAGTCCCTAGTCTACTGCAGGTTCCATTATTTTCATTTTGTGCAGATTTCCTGAATTTCTCAATTTTGGTGTTGAGTGCTGGGGAAGGTTTTCTACGTAGAGTGCATTGGCGAGCAATCTGTACATCTGCATTTCTCCTCTTCACTTTGTCAGTATTTTGTGTCTTTTCATGATAAAACGAAGCAAGACATACTGATGAATTTATCTGTGAGTGAATTTTCAACTTTGAATGATGAAGAAAGAATATTTGCTATTTATTCCGTGGGTCAAGTTTTTATTTGAATGCACCTTAAGTAAGGGTGAAAAATGTATTTTTGTTGATGGCTATCTACATAAATCAAGGTAATCTTTACTATATTTATTATTATTTTACTTTAATACCTCTATATTTTACAAATACTGACCAACATGCATTGTAAACAAAAGGATTTGAATAAGTTTAAGCTTTCCAGGGATGTGGACTAGGGTTTTCCTTTTAGCACAGCTATAGAAGTTTTCTGCCCTAAACAAAGGATATGTAAGTACACGAGTGTTTTGTGTGAATATATATATTTTTCATAGCCATTCTGCTTTGCTCAATAGCATCATCATATGTACTGTATGTATGGTAAATTTCTCTCATTTTTTTTCTTGTAAAGAAGAGCAATAACCATTCTGCAATTTTATTGACTAAGATGCTAGCTCTTAATTTTTAATGAACATGTAACAAATTCATCAAACTTATTTCAATGGACAGGTCTATAATATTCCAGTAATTCATAAAGAATCAGTAGTTATTAGGCAGAATCATGCTTTTTGCAAGAATGTAAAATTTTCTAAAGACAATTAAAATATTTCCCGTAATTTGGTTTTAAATGGAGTTACCTGGGTGAAGTTTACATTTTGAAATAAACATAATTTAAAATTTTAAAAACGTCTTATTTTAAATTTTATAATCATCACATAATAATTCAGAATGCTTAAGATCCAAATAATCCTTAAGAGGAATTTAAAATTATGATACATGTCCCTAAAGTTACTTAAATTCTGAGTGCATATAAAGCTACTGGGCAGTGCTGTTGTTATTTTTCTAAGAGAAATTGTGTGGTTCCTTGATTAGGTAACAAGAAATATTCTGTGCTTCCCTTTCAATTAATCAGAGACAATCGCTTTGCAGATTTTATGTGACGGGAAACGTTTGTTTCTCTCTTGTGTGCCGTATATTGGGAGTTCAATACTGCCGTTCACAGTAAAATCTTCAGAATGGAAATGGATTAAAAAGGAAAACTCCTTAACTGACTAAAATGCAGAAAAATGGGAGTAAAATAATTTGAGATGGCGAGAGAACATATAGACAAGAGAGACAAATGAAAAACCTTAAAAGAGCAATTTATATTTGCTTGAGAAAGGTGGCAGAGATCTTGGAGTACTTTAGATTGTATAGAGGGGATGATGAAATGATTCTTTTTAAGCTGATGGTCTGAATAAGCAGAGGTGTAAGAATACCTTTGATCTCAGTATATTTTTCATCACTTGTATATGAAGAATAAATGTATTTTCCTTTTTTTGGTTTTTAAGTTGAAGGAGGTAATGGCTATGACCAGAGTTTTTACAGTACAGAGAGAGTGAAAACAACTGTAAGTGAAGCTGTAGGAGAATGGATAGGCAGATAATCATGGGAAGAAAAGAAGGAACCTAATCGTAATCTCTCACAAACACATATTTTAACCTGTACTAGTTAGATGGCCATACGCTGTCTTCCTGACAAAGTCTAGCTATTTAGGTAAATTTAGGAACATATGAATGATGACTTTGATAAACTTGATAGCTTAATTTGATCACATAATGGATAAGTACAGTGTGTGTCCAATTGGCTTCAGTTTTATTATTGACTACCACTTCCTATGAGTTGTATAACTTTGGTTAAGTTGCCTAATATTACTGAATTTGAGCTTCCTCTTCTCTGAAATGGGAGTAATGATATCAACAGTTCAAGTCTCTTACTGAGAATAAATGAGATCAAAATATTTGGAACATACCTTGGATTAATCTAAACATTATTATGTTTATCTACTTCACTCCATGTTATAAATTAACTGAGTTATGGGTAATCTGTTGTGTTATGTGTCCAATGTTATATTTGCGATCCTTCACATAAAAGCAGATGTTATTTTATGTACTAAATAGTACTTAAATTTATGGCAGTTACTTAGAGGAATGGTTTGTGTTGGATGTGTTTAGAAATACATCATGTCTTTATATTTGTATATGATTAGACTATGGCAAAAATATGGCTAGTGGGTAGATGAGTCTATCCTTAAACAGACAGACTTAAAATGTCAGAGATGTGTGTAATTTTTTTTGACCTTTGAATTTGGAGACCATGTTAATGACTGGTAACCAACAAGATCAGTTGAATGATTGTACAGTAAATAAAATTTGGTCATTAAGACATTTAGGATAATGAGATCACAAGAGGGCTCATGACCGTATTATTTTAGCCAATTTACAGGTTTATTTAACATAATAACTCAAGACCAAAGTAGAACAATCTACTGAAGAAGGCAGGAGTGCTTCTAGAACCCTCACCAAGAGACCCTCAGGGCACAGGCTTCTGGGCGGTGAATCTGACCTTTATCATTAGCATACCACCATTTTCCTGTGATACGAGTTGATAACTGCTGACTCTAAATGTATAGAATTAAGGAGAGAGTCCTTAGACATTTCTCTGATGGAGTTCTTTTTTTCTTGAGGGATAATTGACTTAACACCATATTAGTTTCAGGTATACTACCTAATTATTCAATAATTGTATATTTTGCAAAATGATCACCACAGTAAGTCTAATTAACGTCTGTCACCATACATAGTTACATAGTTTTTCTTGTGAGGGGAACTTTTAATATCTACTCTCTTAGCAACTTCCAAATATGCAACACAGTGTTGTTAACTACAGTTACTGTAACATATGGAGTTCCGTTTTAAAGAATAATAGTGAGGCCTTTCCCTCAGAATTAGTTCTTCATTACCGTCTTGCATGTTTTCTTGTCCTTTTACAGGGAGAATGAAGTGGAGTGGCTTTTCTTTTCTCCCTGTGACTTTATATCACCCTGAACTGGCTATTTGAAGTATGTAGGAAGTAGCAGTTTCCAGCCTTCTCATTGCATCACACTGCACTTTTCTGGTCCAGTCATTTCCTCACCTTGGCATTTCTCACTTAATGTCCCCTAACCACCTGACACAAAAAATTTGTCTGCAAAACCACCCAGCCTGTGTTCCAGGTATTAAGTATTTTTCATCTCTGCTCACCGTAATGGGCTGCTGGCCGATTGCTGCGCTCTAGGCCATTACTTTCACTGAAATGTGTGCTTCGTGCCTCTTCCACTGTCCGCTTCCCGAGCTGTTAACATCATCACTCTTGCCTTTTCTGCTACTCCCTTTTCTTCCCTACTCATTCACAAGAATTTATACCTATTACCTCAGTCAGAATCAAATACATCGAAATGCAGTGTGGGATTCACTCTGCTTTAAATTTCAGCTTGCTCCAAAGTGTTGATGAGCATTTCTAATGCTTTTAGTTATACCTCAGCAGTCTCTCACCAAGAGATTCTCTCTCCTGATATCGAAAGCTACCTTCAGTGTTCCAGAAAAGTAATTTTCATCTTGAAAAGAGGTTGTGTTCAAAATAGAGCTACAAATGAGATTCCTTAACTGAGCAAATTTGTATTAGATACACAAAAAGAGTGAATCCCAAATATTAATTACTTAGGGAAGAGCATATTCATCATAGTAAAATTTACATTTTATAGATTTCTGAGGGAAAAAAGCATCCTCTAAATATGTAGATTGCCTAAAGTTGGTTCCAATCTTAGGAGAAAGCAAATACTTCCCATTGTTTGTTGTCCCATTGTATGTATAGAAAACCCGTTTTCATAACATCTTTGTAACCAGCGTGAATTGAAGACCATTGTTCTTATCTACTTGTTATTTTGCTGATAGAAGTGTAGAACTCCTGGTGTCTTCAAAAGGAATTTGGACATGAATCAGCTCTGCGGGATGCAAATAAGTTCAGATTTTTCGAAGTACTTTCTGGCAGTTACTTTTAGTTCTTATAATACTCCAGTGTAGCTATAAATATTAAATGTATTTTCTCTACATAAAATCAACAATTCAAAGTTTTTTTCTTTAAACCATGATGAAAATAAAATGTCATCTTTTGCCACTAAAATGCA